ATGTTCCCCATAGCAAAAAAAAAAAAAAAAAAAAAAAAAAAAATTTTTTAAAAAAAAAAAAAAAAAAAAAAAAAAAAAAAAAAAAGAGGGGGAAATTTTTCTCCCTCCAGACACTCCCAGCATGGCTCCCAGTCGCCTGGGGTGCCTACCTAGCAGGGAGGAGCAAGAGCCCTTTATCTTCAGAGCTGAGATACTCAGTCTCTCATTCGCCTATGAATAAAACAGTTCAGTTTCTCCAGTGCAAATACATAGCAGCCAAATGAGGCAGTTCAAGAAGGCAAAGGTGCAAGACCCCTTAGAACACTTTTTTTTCCTTTTCCCTTTTTTTTTTTAACTAATGTACTTTTATACTTTTAGTTTCTTAACTACTTGCTCAAAGAGGAAACAAAACACTGCACCTTACTCAGAGAGCAAACTAGCCCCCTGCCTGAGGAGCGCGGGAACTGCCACTCCCCAGTGGAAGAGAGTGCAAAACCGTGACCCCCCCTACCCTCCCCCCATGACTCAGCGAGCAGAAACCGGGGCCCCTCGCCCTTGACTGACCCCTTGCCTAAGGAGCGCGGGACCTGGGAGCCCCCACCTGAGGAGCAGGGGAACCTTGACCCCTCCTCCGCGACCGACCCCTTGCCTGAGGAGTAGGAGAGAACCAGGAACTCCGCCTGAGGAGTGCAAGAACCACACCCCTCACCTGCGACCAACCCCTTGCCTGAGGAGCCTGTGAACCTGGGTTACCCAAAACAGACAAACAGACATAAGACAGATGAAAAAGCAAACCAGCTTAGAAATAAACCAGAAAGTCTACTAAATTTTGGGAGGTCCGAGGCCAGAGGACTTACTGGACCTCCCCCAGGAGAGGCTTGTAGCTGTAGAGGGCACAAAGGGCCCACTGTTGGTACCAGGCACCAGATTCGAAGCATCCCCTCAGAAGATCTCCGGTTCATCTCTGGTCCCTTCGTGGTCGCCATCTTGTCAATGGAAAAACTAACCAACTGTAAAATTAATAATTAATGATTAATGTGGTGTATTTCCAAGCCAACCGTGAGTGACCTAGGTCTGGAGAAGAGGCATACATGCCTTTTCTCAGGGTGATCATGTACAGAGGTTCCTTTTATTTGTTTGAGATTGACAGACCACATTTGGTGAAAAGATTTTCCATTGGTCTGGCCCCAAAAGGTGGGACATGTAGAAGGGGGGGGGCTTGTAGGTTATAGGTGGGTTCCACAATTCTTAGGTTGGTGATTGGAAGGGAAGATCTGTGTCTTAAAGAAAGGCTTAATCTACATCTCAAGGAAAAGGGAAGTTCTGTGTCTTGGGAAGAGATAAGCAAAAGAATATACTGTAATCAGTTGAAATATACATCTCAAAGATACTATGCCAGGGACAGGAGGTAGGAAGAATCCTGTTAATAGAAAATAAATGGTCTGTTAATGTTTGTGGGCATGACTTCCCCAGTCCCCTTTTGAAAAGATTTTGGAGAAATAGGAAAAGTAGTCAGACTTCTGTCCACATTTCTAATCTGAAGGGAAACATTCCATCTTTCATTATCATTCAATAAGTTTGATTTTACTAATAGCTGTGCATTGTTTGTAACTGCCCTCTATCAGGTTGGGGAAGTTTCTTTTTTCTTAATGTATTGAGAGATTTTATCAGGGAGTGAAGATGAAAGAGAGAAAGCATTTTTCTCTTAAGAGGTGAGGCTTTTCTTACCTGTTTAATACTCAAACGTCACACACACTTCACTGACTTGCTACTGTAAACATTTGACCTTGAACTCCACCCCCACAGAGAACTGACTCCCTCATTCCCGAAGAGGACTGTGAGGCCCAAAAGGGTGAGCAGCTGCCCCAGGTCTAGTTAACTAGCAGTAGCTCCTTTTCACTCTGCCCACCAGGGCAAAGATGATCAACCCCTAACAGGCACAGATTTTCCTCCCACTGACCACCTGTAGGGAGGCTGCTCTGAAAATAAGTAAATGAATAACAACATGTGGGTTGTTAACTCTGTCCTAATTTACTAGGCTGGTTAGAAGTCTGTTGAAACTTTTTGATGCTAAAGGTCCTGGGAGGTTCTACTGGTAGTCATGGGGGAAGGGGAAGGACAAGGGTGGGGACGCCCCAGAGGTCACGTTCTGGTGGCAGCCCCCTCGCACCCCCATTCCACTCATTACAGTGCCTTTCAATTAAAAGCTCAGCAACCCTGCCAGTAAACTGGGCGTGGGCACACCCGTTTCGTCTTGTTGCAGTGGGAACCAGGCTTACCGAAAGGTGATGCAGGTGAGCACACCTGGACGCCCTCCTCCCTGAGGTGGTTTGGAAGGCGCTGTGGGTGATAAGACCTGGGAAGGTTGCTGGCTAAGGTTCCTGCCTCTGACTCAGGGGCTTCATTCACTTGGCAGGAAGAAAGCAGGGCCGGTGATGCAGGTGTGTATCCGTTCAACGTGTGGTAGATTCGTGGCTGCTGCCCCCGCCACTAAACCCCTCTCACCCAGAGGCCCCCCCCCCCCCCGCCACTAACCCCCTCTCACCAGGAGTCTCCCGCCCAGCCCCTGTAGACCTCACCAGGCTAGGACAGCAGAAACAGTAACCCCTGGCTGGCAGAGACCCCAGGCTGACTGCTGGCGGCTGTGCCCATGTGTCAGTGGTTGAGTCATCCCGGTTCAACATTTGGAAGCAGCTAACAACTTGTCACCAAAGCCTGTTCACTGCTCTCTATTCAAAAGAAGGTGGTGCCAGTCCACAAAGGCTGAAGTCATTGGAACACCTGACAAAGTCAGGGAGTGGGTGGTCCCTGGATTCTTTGACAGTTTCTCTAAGCTGCAAGTACACGATCCTTGGCCAAATAACCTTTAATCCACTGAGCAAACAAGAAACTTCTGGGTCTCCCCTTTCTCTGGGCAAAACCTGGTTTTGTTTTTCAGATTTCTCACTGGTTAATCCCGGACATGTTTGTTTAGCACCATCTCTGTTCCAGTGCTTTGCCCGATGTTTACACACTCCTCTGGAAAAGTCCAGCCTTCGCACAGAAAGTAGATTATTCACCAGCAGACTTCCTGGTCCCTGGCTCTTCAGCTCCAAGGGCGTCCTTTCAACACCGACCCAGAGTGGATGTGCCTTGCAACATCTGCGTGTCCCTGGATGGCCCAGGGGCCATACCCAGGACAGTTCTGTCCCTGGAACTGGAGGATTTCTCCCACTGCTATCGTTGCTCAATGTGGAGAGTTTGCACTGGAGTAGTTCCCGCTGCTGAGAAAAGACCCTCTCCTGCGTCTTTAGGCATCTGGGAGCGAGCTAGCTTGCTGTGTTTTAGAGTAAGTGGAAATGCTCATCCTGCAGGAAGGAGAGCGCAGAAGGAGGCAGCTCCCATCTCTCAGTCTGGAGAGCAGGGACTCTCCTAATGTCGGTGTAGTCTAAGCCTGAGACCAGAGGCTGGGTCAACTCTGGGCTTAACACTTGAACCAAAATGTTTCCCTCGACCTTTACTCGTTTGAGGTGCATTTCAAACATGGCTGACAGAACCCTGGCCTGGGGCATTGCAAGGCTCGGGCTCTGCATGGGAGACAGCCCGGGTGGTCCATCAGGGAGGCTGGGTCTGCCTGGCTGGGAACGTGGGAGTCCTCACCTGTTAGGGACAGTTCCCGCTGTCCTTCCTGCCTGCTGGTCACTGGGAGGCTGGTTTTTATGAAGGAAGTCTCTGGGAGCCATGTGTGGGGAATGGGTTCCATAGTGTGCATTTGAGTCAGGGAATGGACCCAGAGGGAAAGTGGGAAGAAGAAATTAGTAAGAAAAACCTTAGCGTAGTGAGATTGACCACCCATAGCAGATCACACTCCCTGTCCCTCTTCCCCAGAATCACCAGCTCCAGACCACACTTCACAAGAGTGTGTCCCCTGTGAAGAGTGGCTCATGCTTGTGGCATGTGGAACTGTGTCCAGTGTGAGGGCAAATGACACATCACAGAGACAGAACTGAGCAGGACATTGCTGTCGCTTCCCAGATTAGGGAAGGTTTTCCCCATCAGACTTCCAGGGGAGACAGTGCAGGAGCTGCCATTGCTTGGGAGTACCTGCCATTTACTGAAAATGATGAAGGAGCTCAGAACACGGGCCCGAAGCACGCCACTTTGGCAGAAGGAGTATTTTGCACTAAAGATGCTTTACAGATGCCTGTAAGTGTAACAAGGGTGCCCCAGTTATCCCCCTTTTCTTCTTGAAACCAAGATAAAACCCCCACATGCAAACCATTTTCCCTAACCCCGAAGGAAAATTATTTTTAAAAAGTTTTTAAAAACATTTTATTCTTTTAAAGAATTATTTAACTTTATTATTATTGTTTGAATTTTCTTCTTTTTTTTTTTTAGAGCGGTTTTTGCTATAGGGCGCGTGCGCTCGCCAGACAGACAGACAGAGACAGAGAGATAAAAAGCGAGAAATCACACCCCAGAGGGGATGGCCACGCCGCAATCCCTTCTCCTCTTGGGATCTTGGGCACTTATGCACACGCGCCCGGCATGAGTTTAAGCCACCGGGTCCGGGACTTGAACCATGGTCAACTACGTGGGAGTTCAGCAACATAGCCATTATGCTAACTGCTGGTCCCTTGTTTGAATTTTCTGTAGGGCATGTGTTCACCAGAGAGAGAGGGAGAAAGAGAAAGAAAGAAAGTGAAAAATCAAGCTGCCAGGTACAGGACTTGAACCATGGTTGGCCATGTAGGAGTTCAGCACCCTAATCACCATACCACCTGCTGGTCCTGGAAAATTACATTCTTATCATCAGGGATGGGAAGCTGAACCTGGGGGAAATCTGTATAAATGAACAATGTTCATTGGCAGGTGGCATAGTGGTTAAGGTGGCTGGACTCCCACATGGCAAACCATGGTTTGAGTCCTGGGCCTGGCAGCTTACTTTCTCCCTTCTCTTCTCTCTCTCCGGTCAACTTCAAAAAAATAAATAAATAAAAATAATGACAATGAATACATTTTTTTTTTGAGAGGTTTTTGCTATAGGGCACATGTGCTCGCCAGACAGAGAGAGACAGAGAGACAGGAGGATGACCATGCCTCAATCCCTTCTCCTTCAGTCTCCTCTTGGGATTTGGGCACACATGCACACGCGCCTGATGTGGGTTTAAGCCACCGGGTTCAGGACTTGAACCGCGGTCGACTACACAGGAGTCCAGTGACATAGTCATTACGCTAACTGCTGGTTCCCCAGTTAACTTTTTTTAAAGCTTCTCTTATTCCAACTCAGTACAAAAACGTACAACTCCAATAGCTTCTTTGAGTCTTTATGACCTGTGAGGACTACCATGTGTGGTAAATCATATATTAAACAAATTTGTGTACTTTTCTCCTGTTTTTCTCTTTTGCATCCACTTAATTCTCTGGCTCAATGGAAAATTCTGAGGGTAGAGGTCAAATTTTACCCTCCCTTCAGTGATATCATCCTTTCTCAGGCCCTGGACTGAAAGCTGCAGATTTATTTTCTCCTTTGCTTTTCCTGATAATCCTTTGAGGGAGGATCTTTGTTCCTGTTTAATACACAGATAAGATATAATCAGAGATGTTAAGAAACCTGCCCAAGGTCACAGAGCTTTGGGGAAGAGCTTGGATTAGAACCTGTGTCTGTCTTAACCTCTACACTAAACCTCTCTGTTCTGGTTTGCACTCACCTGCTTCTCGGGGATGTTTTCCAGAAGAGACTGTGGGTGCAATGCAATACACAGAGTGAGTGTATCTCTACTCCCCAGCTCACATGTTCGAATCTTAACTTCTCTTGTGAATTACTGGAAGTGGGGGCTCTGGGTAGTAATTCAGTCATGAGGGTGGGGCCTCATGAAGGGGGTAGTGTCCTGAAGAAAGGAACTCTGCAGCCACTGTGGGGCGTAGTGATAATGCACACCCTGCAACGCTGAGGATCAGGACGGCCCTGGGTTCGCGTCCCACGGTCTCCCTGCACATACTGGGTGCACACACCCGAGGGCTCTCTCCCATCTGGCCATGTGAGGATACCATGAGAAGATGGCAGTCCACAGCCTCAGAGGAGGGCTGTCCCCAGGGCCCCACCACGCTGCACTGACCTCACACCCTGAGTCTGCAGAACCGCAGAAATGCAGTGCTGTGGTCCGAAGCTGCCTTATCCACTGGGCTTGGTTTTGGTGGCCACGCTGAGAGGGGCTCAGCAGAGACCCTGAGAAACGAGTGAGAGGGACGATGAGGCCCCTGCGGGCTCGGCCTCTGCACAAGATCTGCCTGCTCCCACGCTGCACTCCCCAGTTCTAGTCTTCCTACCGCGATTCTGATGTGGTGGGCGGAAGACAATGATGGGGCGTCTATAAATAAATGAAAATATTCTCTAAAGCTCAACATTGAGATAGGATCAAAACCGAAGACTGATCAGGCGGGTTTGAACCACTGGCGGCAACACACTGGGGCGTCTCCTCGTTTTGTTTCCGCCAGCTCCCCGCGGTTACCCCCGCACTTGCGGCCCCTATCACGAGCCACTGCGTGGGGAGGAGTGACTTTCCTATCAGGACACTCTTCCTATGTGGGAACGCCGGCGATAGACTGGCCGCAGTCCTACTCCGTGCAGCTACTGTGTGCCTGGCACGGTGCCAGTCACTAGGAGTGACACCGACAGGAACAGGTTACAGTCACTGTCTTGCCAGAGTTCTTGGTTACAAATAAAAGAACTTACCAGCCCATTTGAGCAGGAAATGAGTGTATTAAAGGGTGTCGTATAGCTCTCAGGCATTGTGGAAGCCCAGGTGCCCAGGCGTGGCCGCCACAGGTCAGTAGATTGTTCGAACCTCACTCCAGCGAGATTGGTCACTGTCATCGTCCCTCATGCCACTGACTGCACACTGAACTCCAGAAACCCTTGCTCTGTGGGTCAGAAACCCCATGCCATCAGGCCCAGGGGCTCCTGCGTGAGCTGGTTTCCATGCTGAGCCCTGCTCTGCCCGTTTGTGGACCTGAGGTCACACGCCCATGTCCTGCAGGCTGGGGAGCTCGGACAATGAGTCGGCTACCAGGAAAAGGGGGGCTCACCCCCTGGGCAATTCTTTAAACTCCGGGTTTCAGAAGAAACCGAGGGGCACGGTGCATGACGATTGTCCCCTAACTTCCTGAAACCCAGGGTCCGTGGGCACTTTAGTCACCTGAGGGTGAGACAGAAGTGTGTGTGTTAAGAAAATGGAGCCTCACGGTGGAGTCTCCTTAAGATGGCGGAAGTCTTGCTTCATGGAAGGTAAAGAAGTAGACAGCTTTATAAAGACAACCTGTGGTCTGGACAGCTGATCAAGTCTCCTGGAACAGGGCGCTGTGCTCCCGGATAACACAACTGAATGCCTTGAGTCTGGAGCATTCTGGCCCTTTAAGTGCAGTTACAAGGGGGACTGGGATCCTGGCCAGATCCTATCTCCCCGTAAGAAATCCTACAGCTGTGCGGCTTTGGCTCCAGACAAACAACACAGACA